TTTTAAGAAAAACCAAAATAAACCTAAACCCTAAAAAAACCGGACCGGGCGGGTTTGTACCGGTTTAGGTGGTGGTTCGGGTCAACGACGGCGGATGGCAGCGGCGGCTCCGGCGTCGAGGCGAACGGCGGCGGCGGCGGTTCCGGCCTCGGGCGGCGGGGTTCGGCGCGGCGGCTCCAAGCGGCAGCGGGGAAGGCGCAAGCGACGGCGAGGAAGCTCGGTGGCGGCGACGGAAGGCGAGGCGGCGGCGCGGTTCCGGTGAGATCGGGACGAGGAGCGGCGGCGGCAAAAACGGGATCCCGCGGTCCCGGGCGCGCTATATAAAGGCGGGGGAGGCGGCTTCGTGGAGGAGGGGCAAGGCAACGGCGGAGCGTAGCCGAGGCAGACTCGGCGGCGTGCGGCGGCGGGAGTCGTCCCGTCGGGGACGAGGCGGACGGGGCGCTGGCTGGGCTGGGTCGTGGCCTCGCCCGGTTGGGTGCTGGGCCGGCCCAGTCGGCGAAGAAGAAGTTTTTTTATATATAAACATTTTTTTAACAGAGAGAAAAGAAAGAAAAATAAAATAAAGTAAAATTATCATATAGGCATATAGTATATCAAAATTTTCAGAAAAAGATTTTCTACAACCTGAACATTTTTCTAACATCAAATAAAATCCACACAAATTCAAATAAAGCAAAGAGTGCTACAGCTCTAATAAAATCCAATAAAAATCATTTTAAAAACACCAAGATGATTTCAAAATTATTTCTCTCCAATTTTCTAATGTAGGGAATCATTTTACCCTAATTTCTGTATATTTTATTTTTGGAGAAAAATAATAAAAAACTCAAATAACTCCAAATTGAAAATAATTTCAAAAGGACTTTGAATTTGATCCTTTTAAACTTTCAACTCATATTTCATACATTTTGTAGAAGTCATTTTATCTTCTCTCATGAAAATCATTGAGTTGCATGAAGTTTATGAATTGGAAATATTTCTGAATGTAATTTATATATTTTCAAAAACTCTTTTCATTTATTTAATTGGAAGAGGTCATGTCATTTTCTCTCTAGAGTTTTGTTTTTGAAAAGAATTTGAATTCATGGAGATCATAAAAGAAAATGAAAGTTTGGGAAAGTCCTTTTATTCCCTCTCATTTAACTTTCAAAAAGTTTCAAATTTCACTCAACTTCACACAATCAATTAAGCAATCAATCAAATCTATCTATTTATTATAACATTCCAAAATTTAGAATTTTGGGATGTTACAATGACAGACCTACACAGATTCCAGATCTGAATGCAGCACTTGATGCATGAATTTTGTCATGTTACATTTTTTGTTGCAAGTTCAGTGATGAACTGTATCTTGGTATGAGTTCATGGGTGAACTTTTTTGGGGCATAAACTTGTAACTTGTTGAATTTGCTGAATTTTGCACCTGAGGCATCTTGTAACTTGTTGATTTTACTAAATTTCGCTATGAGTTAATGGGATGCAGCACATGTGCATTTGCTGAATTTTGCCACTTTACTGAATTTGCTGAATGTTTGCACCTCCGCTTTACTGAATTCGCTGATGAAGCACCTCCATTTTACTGAATTTCTTTACTGAATTTGCACCTCTTAGGCCTGGGTCTCGAACCCAGGACCTATGGTTAGAGAAGTAGAGTGCAATGCCAGTGCGATAAGAGTAGGAACTTGTTAGGGATAGACGCAGAAAGTTAGTTGTACTCATAATAGAGAGGCCAACTCCCACTCACCTACTCCCTACTCTACTCCTCTGGACGGTTCGCGTTCCCACCCATCGCATCAATAAAACCACCCACCCACCGCTCCCCACTCCCCACCCACCGACCACCACTCCCCACTCACCGACCGCGTCGCCTCCACTCCCAACTCCACTCCCCACTCACCACCGCCGGCCACCGCCACCATGGCGAACATCGAGGGCTGGAAGAGAGCACTGGAGGATCTGGCCAGCAACGACTAGTCGTTCCATGCGCAGATCAAAGAGGTATGCACCTGGTTCCTGAGCGCAAAGCTCATGCTCAATCACGCGCGCGGGTTGGCCAAGGTGTTGACGGACGGCGAGAAGGCGCGTGCCTTCCCTAGAGGCCTCACAGTGCCGCCGCCGTCCTTCCTCGTCTGGGTAATGCGGGAGGCCACGCTCAGCGTGGATCCATACCAGCGAGCTAGGTGGTGGATGTACCGCTCCACCACCTCTCTGGCCCCGGCCCCCCTCGACGGCGACCCTGCGGACGTCGTCGGTGTCATGCTCGTGCTGCTTGCTCCAGTCGACCCTGCGGATGATGACTCTGATGACGACCTGACAGAGGTTGTTGTCATCCCTGACGACGACATGGATGAGGACAAGGTTGTGCTCGTTGCGCCGGTCGCTGTTGAGGGTGGCAGAAACATGCCCATCGACGTCGAGCTCCCGCCAGAAGAGGTGAAGGTCGAAGAAGCAGAAGAGGTGAAGGAGCCAGTGCAAAAGAAGAAGAAGAAGGGAGTAGTGAAGAAGGAGCCAGTGCGTCGCTCCATCCGCCTGCAACAACTAAAGAAGTGAAGAAGGGGCACTGAAGATGTCTGCAGCTGAAGAAGGGAGAAGTGAAGAAGATGTAGTTAGGTATGTTGATCTATATATTGGCATATAAGTTAACAACTATTTTGAGCTGCTACTGATCTATCTATCTATGTTGAACTGTTGTTATCTATGTTGAACTGTTGTTATAAGTTATGGCCTATGTTGCTATGTTGAACTGAAGATGTTGGCCTAAGTTATGTTGCTATGTTGAACTGAAGATGTAGTTTATGGCCTATGTTGCAGTGTTGCTTGTTGTGTCTTGCTATCAAGTTGTGTCTTGCCTTTTTTCTGCCCATGTTGTGCCCATGTGCACACATCCAAAAATAGAATGTACCAGGTGCTCACATTCTGCCAAACATGCAACATTCCAAACTTTACTACCTGAAGATCCCTGGGCCCCTTCCAAATAAAGTGGTCTGAATTTTGCTTACAATTACCTGAATTTAACTTAACTGAAATTTGCTTGCATTATTTGATTTTTTTGCACTATTAGGTTAACTGAAATTTGCTTGATCTGAATTTTGCTTACAGTCAAGTTAACTGAAATTTGCTTGCATTATCTAAATTTTGCTGCAACTATCTGAATTTTGGTACAATGCACAATTTCAGTTCTCTAAAAAAACAATTTTATCATCATTTCTTCATGAGGCAAGAGCAATTTCAGTTCTCTGAAAAACAATTTCATCATCATCACAATTTCAGTTCTCTAAAAAACAATTTCATTTCATCATTTCTTCATTTGGTCACTACTACATCAACATTTCTTAGCACAGTAAAAACACCCTACTTGCTAACAATGACAGTTATCAGAATGGCAAACAGGCTAACATACAGAAGAGCTCCAAAACAAAAAATCTTATCTCTAATTTGCTCTCTTTCCTTCTGCATCTTCACAATTGCTCTCTTTTCTTTCTCATTCCTTTTAGTTTCTACTTCAAGTACTTTAATCCTGGCCTCCAACTCCATGTTCTTCATGGCTAGATCCTTAATCACTGACTTGGCTCTGCCATCCCTTCCCCAGCCCACTCCTGAAAAAATGATGAGCAATTCAAGTCAAGGCCTTGTACTAAGTCAAGAACTGCAGTTCACTATTCCTAGGGATTCATGATTTCTGTACTTACCTTCTTACCACCGAAGTCAAGAACTGCAGTGACCCTGGCGCTAGGTTCTCCAGGCCCGCCGCCACCCAGGAACCCGTCGGCGCCTACTCCATGGGATCGGAAGCCACCACTCTTCTTCTCCCGCCGCCGTCACCGAACACTCTCATTCTCTCGCCGTCAGGATTTGGACAGGGGAAAGGGGAAAATAGGAGAGAGCTAGGGATTTGGACAGGGATAAAGGAGACAAGGGAAACAAGGACTGCGGGCGTGATTTCCTGAAACATTAAGGGGTTTTCCGCAAAAGAGTCAGTCCGGCCAGGTGTGCCACGAAGCAGCCACGAAGCAGCCAGCTAGGCGCCAATTGTTCCTCTCTGATTGGTTGTGGACTAGTTGATCACATAGTTTGCAAGTTTGTGGACTAGTTAATCACCTTTTGCAAGTTTATGAACTAAACCATCATATCCAACCTAAATTTCTGGGTGTCTAGTGCTCTTGCCTTGGTGCGAAATATGCCCAGCAACCAGCAAGCTGTGCGGAGACATCATGCCAGGCCCGTTCGGACAACACAGACAGCGATTCGTCTGAAAGCAAAGCGTTCGCATAGCAGTGCAGTACCATGATTACCGTACGGAAAGTTGTTGCCGACACGTCGACACTGCCACTCCCCGCGGAGGCGGACATGCCGAAACGGCCAGCAGGCCCACTTTCAGCCGCACCGTCTCTTGGCTAAACCAGCTCCCGTTCCGTCGAAACCTCCGCGCAGGGAAAAAAGGTCTCTCCTGCACGCGCCCGATGCTCACATGTGACATGTCACGTGGACCGCTGGCAAACAAGGCCCACCTGTCATGCGCTTTCCTACTACTCACCGGCCCCACACACCCACAGCTTTCGAAAATCACTTCCTCTGCGCTGTTGCCAGTCAGTGGCACGCACGCCTTCCAATGGCGCTCTCTCTCTCTCTCTCTCCCGTCCGTTCAAACCCCACCCCCCAAATCGCCACTTAATTAACGCCCACAGGCCCCGGCGCGTTGGTTAATTTTAAATAACTTGCTAATCAAGTTATTATATTTTTTTCTCATTTTTAAGTTTTTCTAACGCTTGTTAACCAAGTTCTAAATCGAATTAAGCGCAAGAAACCGGCGCTCCTCCTAATCCGTTACCCCCCGCGTCCTCTCTCTCTCCGCCGTTCCCAACGCCATTTTTCCCCTTTCGATTGGTTGTTTATTCCTCCCCTTCGCCGCCATCATTCGCCCTTTTTTCCCTTCCCGTATGCGGATCCGTCTCCTTGTGCCCATCGCCATTCGCCACCACGCCCGCGCCTGATCGGTGGACATGTGGAGAGGGGGAGGGGGAGGGGGAGGGGGAGGAGATGGCGGGGATGGAGGGGGAATGGAGGAGGCCACGGACTTCGAGGTTGGCATCGTCGTGCCCAAGCTCTCGCGCTCCGCGGCGGGAGAGGACTGCGTGGCGAGCCTGGTGCGTGAGCTTGAGGGCGCCGGCCTGCTCGTCGAGCGCGTCCGCGGCGTCCCCGCCGAGTTCATCAAGGTCAGTGCGGCTGTCTTTTTCCTTTTTCAATTTGTTTTGCCATGGTACCCTAATTCCAAGTAATGAGGCGGTTTCCGAGAGAAAGCCCAGAGATTAAAGAACTCCTCAAATTGATTTATAGTGCATGTGGTTTTGCTGTTCCAATTTAGCTGTCCGCGCCCATGGGGATTCTGGGCAGAGCCGCTTCTGAGATGCAGATGAAGAAGCTTACCTACATCGGTAACTCAACTAATGCACTAAGTGTTTGAGATGTGGCGTCAGACCGTCAGTAATGTGTTCGTGTGCTCATTGTTAATCTTCCTTCAGGAATGGAGCTGCAGTTTGAATGGGAACAGGTGGCAGCATTCGTCAGGCAGCCTGATGGTTCCCTCTTTAGCTGGCGAGAGCGGTTTACCTGTTTCCGCTACTTGATATATGGCATTGTGAGTATAACCTCTTTTATAGCTGCTGCCTTTCCTAGCTATGCCAAATTGAAGTTATACTCCCTCCGTTTTGTTTTACTCCGCATATTAGGTTTCTCTTAAGTCAAACTTACTATAATTTAACCAAATATATATAATTATCTACAATATGAAAATGTATTCATGATGGATATAATGATATTGATTTGGTTTTGTGTATGTTTGATGTTTTTTTCTATTAAAACTTGGTCAAACTTCCAAACATTTGCCCTAATATGCAGAGTTAAAAAGAACGGAGGGAGTACACTTTAATATGAGGAACCATATTTATTTTAAATTATATCTACATCTTACATATGGATGCATTCTAGCATACTTTTATTTTTGTGACCTGATTCTTTGGATAGGAAACATTTATTTTCTTATAATAATGAAATTTTCTTGTCTATAGCATTGTGTGCCCTGATTTGAAGCAAAATAATTTGTTTCTATTGTCTGGTTTCTGCATTTGATATTTGTCTCTTCTAAATGATATAGTAACCGATGCATAGATTATCAGAGGACCTGAAAAGGGCAACAATATATGCATATTTGTCTCTTCTAAATGATATAGTAACCGATGCATAGATTATCAGAGGACCTGAAAGGGGCAACAATATATGCATATTTATCTCTTCTAAATGATATAGTAACCGATGCATAGATTATCAGAGGACCTGAAAGGGGCAACAATATATGCACGTTTGATATATGAGCTATAGAAAGTGGGATTTTCTACTTAAATTTTCATTTGTTTAATATGATGTGTGAATAGTAAAGCATATACCCAATCTGAATAGCATTTTAGTTTTTGTGATACGGAATCTCAGATTTCCTTGTGTGATAGCACATTGTTATTGAACCATGCAGGTGAACAAGACCAACTCTGAAATATCTCTCAAATTTGACGATAAAGAGTTCTATTGGAAACAAAACGAGTCACTATTGCGTAGGCTTGAAGATGAAGGAGTTGTAAAGCTAGTCTTCCCTTTGCATGGTACATATATTAACCTAAGATAATAAAAATATTTGTAAAATTCGTAGCATTAGCTAACACTACTTGCTTGTAGAGGAAGTTAAAAGGAAACAGCTCCTGAGAAATTGGGCACTTAACTGGCATGACTTCACATGGCAACCTATTGATGAAGTTTACTCCTATTTTGGAACCAAGGTAGAACAACATGACAGCACGTTGCAGCTACTGTATCTTGTTTCTGGACCATTTATCAAAAGCAAATCAATAAATGAATTCCTTTCGAGACCATAACTCCCCCACTTTTGAACTGCAGATTGCAACATACTTTGCTTTCCTAGGAATGTATACGCGTTGGCTATTCTTTCCAGCCGTATCTGGATTGGCCACTCAGCTTATAGATTTTGGGTATGCATGTTACCGTGGCTCTTTTTTAAAACATGGTACAAATATAACTAATACAGTCAGCTAAGTAGTAAGTATTCCCCTCTGCTCTTTGAACTCAGGTCATTCCAGTGGCTGGTTCTTCCTGCTTTCTTTATCTTCGTGATTTCTTGGGCTGTCTTCTTTTTGCAATTTTGGAAAAGGAAGAATTCAGCACTTCTTGCTAGGTACCATCCAATTCCAGGATATGCAGTTGTTATTCAAGCTCTTGTTGATTAAATTCCTGACCACAACTTTTCTTTCTTCCATATGTTGCCTGAAAGCAGATGGGGCATTAATTATTCATTTGCTGAATACAAAGCTTCGGCCAACGAACTGGAACCAATAAGGCATTATCTTTCTATTGAGCGTGTGGACGAAAAGAATTTTGATGATGCGCCTGCTGAGAAAAGGAGATTGCAAAGAAATGAGTGGTCTGGTGTCCTTCTAAGAATTAGGAACAATGCGATTATTGTTCTGGGTATTATTTGTCTTCAGCTGCCATTTGAGTTGGCCTATGCTCATTTGTATGAAAAAACTGAAACTGAGGCGCTGAGGTAAGAATGTCACCATGATCTATGTAGTAGTTCATTTATCATTGTAGAATAGGATTTGATGCAAGACAATTGTATTGACATCATGGGGTGCCCATATGTAGCATGTAAAGGGGTAGTTCCGTTCACTACTGTGACCCTAATTACAGATTATAGACTTGGGAAAGAAGCGGGACAACTACACCTAATACACGTACGTGTACACTTGGGACACGCACAATTATC